AAGTCCAGGCTGATCAGGGTTGAGTGGGAAGAAAGCCCAGAGATAAGCCAGTTACAGAGGAGAAGGTTGAGCTAGGAACTCTCAGGTTAGTCCCCTGGAAAAGGGAGGGCAGGTGCTGTCGGGCAAAGAACCAACAGAAGTCCAAGGCCAGAAGGTTGATGCTGGTGCAAAGAGGGACAAGGAACAAGCTGAGGTCCAATAAGTAGGCAGGACTTGGGGTGTCTGGAGGGAGTCTAAACAGCACTAGAGAGATGGGGTTCCATGCAGGACCCTCTAATTCTAGAAAGCAAAAGTATGAGGAAGTAGGCATAGGAGTAGCCAGATGAGGGAGACCAGGTAGGATGAAGTACGAGTTCTGTACCATGACCCAAACTAGAGTGGCAGGATTCATGAGGCATCTAATCAGATACAAGGGGGTGGGATCTGTCCCCAGGACTGAGCAAACCTGCAGGCTAGAATCAAAGAGAAGAGCTTCTGGGAGCTGCAAAGACTTTCAGGCATCTACAGCAGGCCAGACATCCTGGGCTGCTTTTCCCTCTTCGGGTCCACCAAAATGCTCTTGCTCATCCACACGTCTGTCTCCATCTCCATCTTTCGCACTCCTCACTTCACCACCTCTCTTCTAGCCAGCCTTGACTTTCCCTGCAGTCCCTGTGCCCAGCTTCAGGGCGGCTTCTCAGCACACGTGTCCTCTGCCCTGGTGGTAACATGAGCACTGGGTGCGGCAGAGGTGTGGGCACCACATGCTGTGGACAGAGGCAGCTGCTCCAGGGTGCCTCAACAGGTGCCTTTCCAGAAATCACCATCCAAGCCAAGGTGGGAACCTTGAACAAGCCTCTGTTGGATGTGGTCAGGGAAGGGAAGTCAGGAGAGGAAAGCATCTCTGTCTTCCTCCCACCAGCTGGAAGGGTGCCACTTGCCCATCCAATCTAATTAGTTAAACCCTCAGTCTTGACAGATAGAGGCTTAAAAAAAAAAAACTCTAGCTTCCTTGGTTCATAGTCTCTCAAAGGATAACAGAAGATCTGATCATAGCAAAGTAGAGCCTCAGCCCTGTGATTCTCACATCCAGCAGTAAGCAACTGTGCACTCAAATCTCCATCCTGTCCAGGCCAAGTGGAAGGAGAAATTGGAGCTCACAGTCACAGTGCCATTGAGTCACAGGGATCCAGCTGGGATGGCTGAGTCCATGATGGCTCAGTCCCACTGAGTCCCTGCCGAGCAGATCAGGAGATGCCCTTTGCATGCCTTCCTGCAGGTATCTGCCCACAGCTTCAGGCAGGCTCTATTACCATGGTTCTTCCAGCCCACCTTGGCTGCTTGGTCCCAGTCACTGGCCACCCAGCCTCTTCCACCCATCTGTCCTTGCCCTGCAATGAGCAAGTGTCCAGGCTGCAGGCCACCGGATACTGTGCCAGAAGGGACAAAGGCAAAGGCATTCAGGATGGTCTCAGGGCTCTTGGGCATCGCTTGAGGACACACAATTCTCCAAATGAGTGCGGCTACCTCAGTCCGAAATACACATTGTGAAAAGTCTGTGAGGACATGTTGTAGTCAGAGGAGGGAACAGTGCCACCGAAAGTGCCCCTGCAATGCCAGCCAGCTTCCCTGGCCATTCCAGCCACTTGTCATCAGCTTCTGTCACATGCAAAGCATTCAAGTAGAAAACCCATCCAAATGCAAGGATGCATGTCCCTCCTCACTTGCCTGTGACACTCTCTTGGCCTCCTCCAGCCCTGGAGAGGGCAGGAGTTGCTGGGTGAAGAGCCCACGGAGGCACCTGTCCCACCCTGCCACTCACATGCAGCAATGGGTGGGAAAGCAGTGGTAGACAGCCAGGCCTGGGTGGACTGGGGACATAGATGCTGCCTAGGCAGGGCTTCTGCTTTCTTCTAGGGTTGGAAGAAGAAACAGGTACCTACCATGCCTCTCCAGCAACTGCCACCCACGTCAGTGTCAAAACTTTGTCCCCAACTCATCAAGAGAACACAGCACTTGAACTTCAGACACAAAGGCCAAGCCTCTACTCCCCACCCCACACACATACATGCACAGGTTTGATCCTCCAGCCACTACTGCCGCTGAAGCTTAACTCTTTATATTTGGATCTGCAAGCCTCGGTGATTTCACCTGGCTACAAGGTGCATGGAATCACAGATCTGCAAGTAAGCTTCCCATTGGTGGCCTTAACTTTCCAAAAACATAGTTTTAAACCAAACTGTGCTTCTTCCTATTTGAAAACATCTTCCCCACCACAATGGTTGATGATCATGCAAATTCCTGATGAAAAGAATATAACATGCAAATTCCTGATGAAAAGAATATAACCCAAAGTTAATCAAAATCCAAATACTTGCCAGAAGTTGTTTCACAAAAGACAAACTCAAATTGCTTTCCTTGGGCAAAAATTAATCTACTGAGAAAAGTAAGATATTATGGTCAAACTATAAAATGATAACTAACCTAATAGCAAATGAATTTATTCATTTGATCTCAGAGTACTAAAGAGTGCAGAACTCACAAAACAAGCAAAGAAATCCGATGCAGGGTTTTTTTTTTTTCAATGCTGTTCATCTTTAATTGCTGCCACTTTTAAGTCAAAGGGTGTTTCTGTGCCCACTTCCTACCTAATGTCATCAACACTTGACCTTTGAAAATTAATGTGGACCTTCCCTATCATGCCAGCCTTCCCAATCATACTTAGTACCAGCTTCAGTTGTGACAGATGTTCACCTGCCCTCTGGCTCATAATAGCTGTCATGGAATTCAGACATGGCAAATGCTCTCTGCCAGTTTAATAGCCCATTAGACAACTTCGTGAAAGAGGCAACTGAATCCCTCACCAAATAGTAGCATCAATTTATCAAACACCATGTGCCAGAGATCTTTACGTGTATCAACCATGGGGATGGCTTTTTATCAGTTAAGAATAGACCTGTTAGCACCCCGATTCACAGCATAAGCCACACATTAAATTTTTCAGGAGCCAACAGCACTACAATTGGAGAATGAGCTCCCTAGAGACATACAAGGTTCAAAGAGCCCCCTTTGTCTTTGCTGATGCCGTGTCACATATTTCCAGGGATGCCTTATTGGGTGAGCTCCTTGCATTCCAGACATGTACAGGGTGTATAGCCAGGAGAGTACTACCAGGTTTCCCTTAAAGTGTGTCTGTGCACTTGACACTAAAATAGTTCTCCTTGTTGAAAATTCCACAAACCATCTTAATTGCTTGAAGCAATTCTCCTATATTGTAATTACCTCATTGCCTTGTAATTATTTGCTGTGAGATTGTCTCCACCCCCACCCTTCTCCACCCCCCAACTCAAGCTCCTTAAAAGAGCTCCCAGTGGCCTCCGTATCCACTATGTCTGGCATCTAGAGAAACCCGGTATCCTTGGTTAAAGTGTGTTCCTTTGGATTGAAACTGTGAGGTCAATAATTTATTTCTTCTTAGGTTCTGAGCCCTATTAGGAGCCCCATAATCTTTTAGAGTTAAGTAGCTAATCAACAGGACTTCTGTATCTTAAAAATCTCTTTTAGGTTCCTATTGAGTGACTCTACTAGACCAATATATTGCAGGAAATAAGCAATTGTCATTTATTTCTATATTTGGGTCTTTACATATCTAGCTCCATAAGGAAATTAATAACCCCAATTATTAGAGTCTCTGAGGCAAAACTAACATTAAAATTAAATAAGGATGTGGCATGCTTAGCTCAATGTCAGGCGCACTGCAATGCTCTTTAAGCGCTTTGTCCCAGTGTGCTGGTATCTACAGTAATGGCTACAGCTGGTGTCTGTAGTAAGGACTACAACTCGTAGGGGCATCAGTCTGGTTAATGCCAGCCCATCTGCTGGTACTTGCTCTATGATTGCAATCCAGAAGCACTGGGTAACAGTCATCTGGACACCCAAAGATTTTGCTGAGTCCAGTGAATGACAGTTCTGCTTTATTTAATTTTTCTTGTCTCTCACACCTCCCCATTCCCCACCCCATGCTATGGATGGTATATTAAAGTCAAACCAAAAAGTGAACCATACACACACAAACAAAACTAAGCAATAATAAATACATTTTGGCCCTAAAAGCTGTCTTCTTCAAATTCATCACTTAAGGGATTCCTAATATCAAGAAACAGTAAAAATCTCCTTTGTCTATGAATGTAAACTGAACCTTCACCTTGGGCTGTTGGCAGGGGGGGCATCTGACCAGTGCAAGAGAAGACACAGGGCGTTTACTCACAGGACAAATGGGTCAGCAAGAAGATCTGTGGCAGCAAAGAGGGGGAGCTCTTCTGTCACAGACAGGCAGCGGATCCCCACAGGGCAGAAAGTAAAAATAGACACTCGACTCTGCTTGCTCCTTAAGTCACCCTCTTATTGTAATTTACGTCCTAACAATCCACTGGCCTAGACATTCCCTAACCAATAGGTGCAACTATGGCTTCTGATCTGTGTTAAGCAATCCCAGGTGAGCCAAGGCCTGAAGCCCATCATTGGAGACTTGTGGAAGAGGCAAAATCCCCCACCTTGTGCCCCACCCAGGTGCAAATCCCCATAGTAATGCAGCCTGCAACCACCAACTCCTCCTGCCCTTCGTAAATAACAACTGGAGGCTCTAGCAGTTTGCCACAATAATATTCCTAGCAACTTGGAGACAGCTGGAGTTAAATCCCACAAGCAAGTTCAGTGAGGTAGATGAAACTTTAGATGCCTACCCAGAGAGTGCAATAAGATCATTATCTGACTGCCAGTGGTTTGGTTTTTGTTTGTTAGTTTGGTTTGAGTGTGGCTGTTTTTTGGGGTTGTTGTTGTTCAATGCAAGCCCTCCAGAGCTATAATTCAATCAAAAATAACTGAGGCAATTCTGACCCATTAATATTGGCAGATCCAGCACAATGTCCTGAGTCTGCCCACGATCCCAGAAGGGATCCCAAGCCCTCCAGAGGTGACATCACACACGGTCACAACCAGAGAGACAAAGAAGATGTACTTACGCAGGGCATGCCACTCGTCCTGACGGATGGTCTTTGTGATGTTGAACGTGAGGTTCCTGGGGATGGTTGCTGAGGAGTAGTGGTACTTGATGTACGTGCATCGCTCAATTTCTCCTGGAAAAGAGAGGGAACCAAATGTTAATGACATCACAGCCAGGTCTGGAGCAGTTCTGGGATCCATTTTTCCAACCTGGAGAAAGATTTATTTCATCCTGGGCCTGGTGACCCCTAGTTTATATAAGACTGTAACTTTGACTCAAAAAGAGGAAGAGAATAGAACCACATTCAAAGACCTTTGATTTCTTTTTATTTTTTTAAATCATCTCTGAGATCATATAGAGGTAGAAAGAGCCAAAGTTTAGGCTGTTAGAAGCTAACTCTTTAAAGGGTGGGGGTACCCATGTTTTTCTAACATTCTTAATAAAATCAACTTTCAAGTTGAAAGAAGTTTGGCATCAAAAAACATTAACAGTTTCCCCCTGGGACCAGCAGAACGTAAGCTTGGGCTTACTGGTATCATTTGCTCTTTTAGTAGAAATGTAACATTTCAGTCTTCTGCATAGGGAGCTGGGTTGGGGGAAATTTCTTCCCTTTTTCTCTCTCCGTTCCCCAATCCTCTCCAACCTTACCTCTGACCACAAAGTTCTCGAATCAATCTCTCTCTGTTTGAACTAGTCTCAGGCTTCTTGGAAAAAATTGTGGCCCCTTAAGTCAACACCTGGTCCAATGCATTACTATTAAACCAAGGCGTAGGGCAGAGATTCTCAAAGTGTGACCACAGAACAATCAGCTTTAACGTTCACAAGAAACTTCCTAGACATGCAACTTCTCAGGCCCAACCCCAGACTTCCTGAAGCCAAAAGCTCCAAGGTAAAGCCCAGCTGAGTTGTATTAAGCCTTCCAGGTGATTCTGTTGTGTGCTTAAGTTTGAGAACTGCTGCTTTAGAGAATCTAACACAATTCCAATGTATCAATTCACAACTCCACCATGTTTGTAAATTTCAAAAAAAAAGACCTAATCCAGAGTTCCTTCCTTGTTACATTTGGTCTCCTGCAGGCATTGCTATTGACAATTGCTTATATCTGGGGAATATTAAAATTCAATGGCAGGGCACTGTGAAGAATCAGGAAAGGAGCGATTTTTAAAGGTTAAAGGTTTTGAAATTTGGTTTTGCACCTGAATGGATTTTGATGGTAATCCATTTTGCACCCCACTGATTTTCAATTTATAACGGGTGGCACCTGATTGGACTGTTTGACACCCCCCCACCCACTGTCAGCAGGGAACCTGGCAATTGGTGGAGTGCAATAATTTAAATGGGGTGCCTTGTGAAACTGATGCCTTATAAATTATATCTGGACAACTGCCTAGTTTCCAGGTATTGGCGGACATTTCTCAAATGCGACAGACTCTATTCAAAGAGACAAAAGTCTCTTTAGAAAGTGGTATGCACTCTTTTCCTGTATCTTTAGCTTGTCAAACTCCGGGTGTCTGTCCTCTTAGCCCACAAAGCCCCTGCAGTCTCTCAGAGGCTCCCAGCTGCCCCCAAGCACACCTCCTCACTCACCTCCACCCCATCATCCTGCTTCCTTGACTTGCTGAACTTCTTGAAAAGTTATCTACCAGAGTTTCCACTTACTCAAGCCCACCCCTCAAGCCTGCACACCTTAAATCCATCACGAATTCCATGAATAGCATCACTTCCAGGCTACAACAGCATCCCTAATGCCTCCTCCTCCTCCCTAATGGTGCCCCCCTTGCTGACATCAACTGGTCAGCAAATTCTGTCAGTACTACTCCAGAAATGTCCCTGGAGTCTGGTGTCTCCTCTCAGTCCCCACTTGTCCACGGTAACTGTCCTATACGGTGAGGTGCAGCATAACGATTTTTCAAAGCCAGGCTAAATATATGATGGCGGTCCCCTAAGATGGCCTACCCTGCTGAAGTCACAGCCATCTTCATCTGTGGAGGTACACGCTACCATGTCCACACAGTGACAAAATCACCTAACGATAGATTTCTCAGAGTGTGTCTCCATCATTGATACATGACTACAGTGACCTTTCTCAATAAACAACCACATTTAGTGGTAACTTACCAAATAGGAGAAACTTGCCAACTGCTTTATAAACCAGTGGTTCCCAACTTTACATGTCACGAAGCTCACAGAAAGGATATTTAGAACACACCCTGGAATAAATAGACAAGGAGGCCCCTGCCCCTACTCCCTGAAAGAACCAGCATTCCGAACATACCTGGAACCCATTCCTGGGGTCACACTTGTCTCACCACCCGGGAGACTCCATAAGGAATTGCTGTTATCACCATCCCTGTTTTAAAAATGAGAAAGTTCCACTTAAGAAGATTAAGTGACCTGCCTAAGGAAGTGACCACACCAGGATTAAAACCCAAGACTGTTCAACCAGAGCCTCCCTTTCCGGGGCCATCCTCTGCTCATAGGCCTGCACTGGACTTTGTACACGGAGGAGAACCCCCACACTCCTCAGGCATGAAGCCCCCAAGCTCCACTCCAGCTCCCCTTTGGCCCCAGCCCTCCCACCTGCCAAGCTGCTGCCCAGGGAACCTTCCCACCGTACCCTCAGTGGGCCACATCCTTTCATGACTGTCTCTAGGCTCCTCCCTGCCTGTCTCCCTGAGGACAACAATTGTTCCAAGAGGGAGCTCAATGGCAGCTCCCAGGAAAGCCTTCCTTGCATCTAGGAGGTGCCAGCAGCACCCAGCAGGAATGCTCACCTGGGCTTTTCCCTCCTCCCTTCCTGCTCCCCTGAGCCTCCTTCTTATTTACCCAATGCATCCAGGGGCTATGATTTATCTATTTACACACCTCGCTCTCCCACTAGATTATGAGCTTCTCAAGGACAGGGATGTTGTCTTATTCATTTATCTTTATCTCCCAGCTCCCAACACAACTAGGTAAGTACCTATACCAAGCACTCCAAAGGAAGGTGAGAATAATATGAGATGCCCTTGCTAAGACCATGGAGGCAAAGAAACCAATTATTTTTATTACATGCAAGGAAAATAACTGAGGCAAATAGAATAGAATCAGTGAAGGGACATGAGCACCGCCAAACTTAGCCTACAGCCGACATCTCTTCCCTGTCTGGACAATGTAAGGAGAGACAGTCAATCACAGTGAGGCAGAAGAAACCCCCATATGATCACAGAACAGGGTCTCACTGCACTGAACAAATGTAATCCAAGGGACAACCAGGTCAATGGTTTGGGGGGAAAGAGTGGGAGAGGGTAGAAAAGATATCAGAAAGCAAGAGTAGAAGGCTATAACAAGAATACTATCTGCAGTTGTCTTGGACAGGTACAGCTGGGCACTTCCTAAATACCTGGGTGCTGAAGTCCAGCTGCTATGGTCTTTGTCAAGCCTTGTACCTTGGTTAGGTGGAGGTCAGTACTGCCTCCGCCAAAAGGAGCTCCTTTATCTAATTTGCACAACAGTCCCGTATGACCTAGCCACCATCCTATAGGCAATCATTTTAAGATCAAACAAAACATTTTCTGGACCCAGCCTTGGAGCACACAACTGGATTTCACTGGTGATGGCCAGATTTGTACCTGTCACTGTGTCTGAGAAAAGTGCCTGATTCCTTAGCTAAGGCCAGGCTCTCTCTGCCTCGACACAAATTCAACAAGTTGTCATAGGCTCCCAGCAAGCTAGAGCCAGCTCCCTGAGCCCCTGCACCTGCAGCCCACCCAGCCAATGAGGAAAGAAGCCACTTGACCCTCAGCAAGAACAAGAAACCAGGGAACCGGCAATGGTGACATCCAGGAGACCTGCCCGGGGCAGCAGGAACAGCCCACTGGAGGCCCTCACAGTTTGCTTTGCATCAGGGATTGTAACATCCTGCCTTTGACAGCAATTAAATCTGAAAGATTCAAATATTGCCTAAGAAGAAAGGCAAAATATTTCTCCATGTGTCTGCAGGTCCTGTCAGTGTGCTGGGCTTTTGTAAATACAGGCACCATCTGGGCACCCGATACGTGTGCCCAGAACGTGGGCTTCCCAATGCAAACAGGTTTTCCTGCAACAATAGATGAGGAGGGGCCGCCTGGAACACAATAAGGAAGCCCATAGCCCTACCTGGAAAAGAGATCAAACCCACCTCCAGCATCACCTGCATCCCAACCCAGAGTCACAGCAGCTCCCTCAAGAAGCTGCAGCGTGGGTGGAACTGGTTTCCTGAGCTGGTGATCATCCTTCCTGTTGGTCAGGGACCTAGCAAAACACGTAAGTGGTGCCCAAACAGGTAACCAAGGAGAGTTCTTTAAAAGGATAATTTAACTCAATAACCTGATTGAAAAAGGGGCAAAGGACTTAAACAGACATTTATCCAATGAAAATATTTAAATGATCAACAGATATATGAAAAGATGTTCAACATCACTAATCATCAGGGAAATGCAAATCAAAATCACAATGAGGTATCATCTTACCCCTGTTAAGATGGGGGCTATCCAAAAGAGAAAGAGAGAGAGAGAGAGAGAGAGAGAGAGAGAGAGCGAGAGAGAGAGAGGACAGATAACAATGGTTGGTAAGGAGGCAGAAAAATTAAAACTCTTTTACATTTGGGTGGGCATATATGTTGGCTATACCACCATGGAACTCAGCATGGAGGCTCCTCAAAAAGTGAAAAATAGAATTACTAGAATTACCGTGTGACCCAGTAATCCTACCTCTAGGTATATATCAAAAAGAAATTAATATCTCAAAGAGATATCTGCACACCTATGTTTATTGCAGTGTTATTTACAATAGTCAAGATATGAGTGCCTATCAATGTATGACTGGATAAATAAAATGCAATGATTTTGGTAAATATAATGGAATATTACTCAGGTTTTTTTAAAAAAAAGGAGATGCTGCCATGCACAACTACCTGAAAGAATCAAATTCCATAATTCTACTTAGATGAGGATCTTAAACTCAGGAGCAGATAGTAGAATGGTGGTCAGCAGGGGCTGGGAGAGGTGGAAATGAGGAATTGTTCCACAGATAGAAGAGTTCAGTTATGCAAGATGAGGAAATTCTAGAGATCTACTGTACAACATTGTGCCTATAGGTAACAATCTTAATTGC